CAAGCTGAATCATTCAAAGAAATCTGTAAAAGTTGTCATCTTAGGGGTAATTAGTTTCCTGTAATAACTAAGAATGGCAACTATTTTATTGTAGATGGCACTAGTATGTCAAAATAGCAGCTGTACTTAAATGAGTACAGTGGGCGCTAATGGGTTAATAAAAGACACAAGCAACTGGACAAGTTTTTTTGTTTTTTTTTCTTCAATAACTGTTCATACAAGCAACTGTAAAAGAACCAGTTTTTTTAATTTTTTTCTTCAATAACACTGTTAAATAATATTTCTATGTATCGTAAGTACAATATTTATTTTTATAACCGGTAAAACCATAACATGAAATATAAAGATCCTGACTAGTGAAACAATTCGAAATGAACTATTTGTGCAATGAAGTGATAACAAATTGTTAACTGTATATTGTTGCAAAGTATATAGCAATCTTAATATTTTCTAATGTATACACTATGTATAATTACATTAGACCTTTCAATAAAATATTATGATATAAATATTTTATATAATAAAGCAAAGTGTGTAATAAAAGACAATTTGTGAACTTATTCAACAAACAAAATTACTACCGAGGTCAGTAGGTATATATAGTTCAACATACTTTGTGAATAATAATATAATTTATATTATAAAACCTGTAATTCCACTATTTATATAATTTTATATAGGAATATAGGTCATGGAAATAAGCAAAAAAAGTTCCCTGATTGTGACACATAACCGGCCAGACAATCTACAGTTGTTTTGAGTTGTATGGACCTCTGAACCAAAAACCAATATGTTTCCTGCAGTCGATTTTTTGGACTTAATTATTAACAAATTAACCCCTTTCGCCCCAGGCCTTTTTTTTAATGTAGGGAGTTTTATACCAGCAAAAGTTTTTTAATGAAAATACATTTTACGATAGTTATGATGTATAATAGAAGAGATATTCACCTATGGGGGCCATAAAAATGTTTGAAGCAAGTTGAATTTATATGACAATTTATAGTATTGATACCAGAATATCCACATAAAGATATTTGGGTATACCACTATATCCACCATTGGATATCATTCAAATGTATCATGCATTTAATTTATAAAGTCACACCAAATATTAAAACATAAAACATATATAAAAAGACAGTGAACAATTTAATTATATTCAGAACAAAGCAAAAAATAAAAGAACATCTTTTTTATTGCTTTGAAAACTTTAAGAAATGTTCTGCCGAGCAAAGTCCAGGTTTCTCCCGACAAGCACTGCAACATTTTCTCATTAGTTTATAGTCTAGGTGCCAGGTGACATACTGTATCACTCATAAATAACAGGCTACAATTTTCAGGATAGTTTTATAAGACCTCGACCCCCAAATATCTCTTAGGATACTTTCTGTACCGGGTGCTTTTTCTCTCCAGCTTATCCAAAAGTGGTCATTTTGAAGTAGTGTATCAAATTTATTAATAACGTATTGCTGTTTAATGAATACAAAAGTCGACTTCGGGGGATCTGAAATAGTAAATAGTTTCATATACCTGGGGTCCCTAATAACAGATGACGGAGGGTGCGACAGAGAATGACTAGAATGTTGCTAGAATAGCTATGATGAAACTGGTAGCAATTTGGAAAAATTCTATGCGCTAAATTACCATATATTAAATAATTTATATAGCCCATTTATTTCAATTATGATTATACAGTGATGAGTGCTTTACCATCCGGCTTTTTAACGTAAGAGATAGGAAACACAGTTACCTTGTGAAATAAAAAGAGATAAAACTCGTAGAGGTGGGAAATAATCGATAGAAACCTATAATTTACATTACATTCCATTACCACCATCGACAATCTCACACCTTTAGACGTTAGACGTGGCTATTTGACTTCAGTCATAATTAGACGGATAACCTCAAAAATATTTTATTTTAATAATTTCTGATGTTAGAATAAATACTTGAATAAATTAAGATATATTATAGTAAAAAACATTCATTAGTAGCGATTTTAAAATCTTTAAATTTATTTAATAGTAAATCTTTAATCTTTAAATTTATTTAATAGTAAAAATAACAACTGAAATATTTGACTAAAATAAAGGTAGGTATGTTTTGTCCGAAAACAATTAATGTATGTGAAATTGGTGTAGTGGTTAGGGACGTTGTCTATTGACGAGAAAATTGAGGTTCAATTCGCACCAAGGATAAAATTTTTGTTTTATCAATAAAAAAATAATATAAAATATGATACATATTAGGTAACAAATTTTCGAAAAGCTCATTATTTACAATTTATTTTTATTCCAATGTTATAAAATATACAAAATAATTCAAATTCAATTCATACATTCAATTCATTCATTGCATTCAGTTGTGAATGCAAAATAATCCGGTGAAGACTGTTTATATCAAATCCATCACTAAATTCTCAATGTTAATATCAATTCCTCTGTACAGGTAATGATTTTCAATACAATTGACAACATTGGAATGGATGCGCGCGAAGCGAAGCCTTTAAGCCATCAAAATAATAACATATCGAGAAGTGTTTTTGCACGGTAAACAGAAACTTTTTGGGAATGGATTCTCAGACAACATGATTAGACAACAATTTGTAAATATGTTTCCAAATAGGCCGGCTGCATCACGATCAACAATTCAATCTATTATACGTAATTTTTTTACTTATGGATCCGTGTTCGCTCCAAGAGGAGTTCGTAGACGAAGGGAGGTAAATCCAGATTTGGAACTAAGGGACACTTTGATTTGTGAAGTATTGAGCAAAATCCTACCCAATCAACATCTCGTCTCGGAGAACAATATGGAATTTCAAGATTTAGAGTTGGTAAAATTTTGAAAAGGCATGGATACCGACCCTATAAACTTCATAAATCCAACGAACAACTCCCTGGGGATCAATATAGACGTTTAGAATTTTGTCAAACTGCAATGGAAATGTCACATTAAGATGAACATTTTTTAGAGAACGTCTTGTTCACCGATGAATGTACGTTTTCATTGCATGGCCGTCACAATTCAATGAATGCTCGGTATTGGTCCCGAGGAAATCCTCGTCAGATTTATGTCGCTCGTACCCAGCGTCCTCAAAAAGTAAATGTTTGGGGAGGCATAATAGGGAATCATGTCATTGGTTCATTTTTTATAGACGGTATGTTGACTGGGCGGAAATATTTGGAACTTCTGCAAAATCAAATTGTCCCAGCCCTTCGTAATTTACCAATTCCTTTCGATTCCATATGGTTTCAACACGATGGTTGTCCTGCACATAATTCTCGCATCTTCCGAGAATATCTCAGTGCGACTTTTCCTAATCGATTGATTAGTGGACACGGAGATATTTTTTGGTCTGCAAGATCACCTGAACTTGCACCTTGTGATTTTTTTATGTGGGGATATATCAAGCCCAAACTATATGGAATTGAAGACGATAGGCCTAATTCTCTCCAAGAATTAAGAGAAAAGATCTCTGATTCAATGAGAGGTATTAGTCCAGAAACATTAACTAATGTTAGACGAAACTTTTATAATAGATTGAGTTGTTGTTCTGCTGCTAATGGAGGCTTATTTGAACATTTTTTTGTAAATACATTTCATTACAATAAAATACGTTTATTTAGAATATTTTTATAGAATTTCTGCTTATTTTAAACATTTTTTGTAAGTACATTTATTTAGAACGTTCTTTTATGTTTGAAGAATTTTTACTTTATTTTCGAAAGTACGACATTGTTTTTTCAATAAGATTTTTATGTTTTACTATAAACACTTCTAATAAAGACTGAAATAAATGTTTTATGACTTAAAGCAAAACGATATAATATCTGCATAATTTCAAATTTTTAAAAAAGTAAAAACTTCGTGTAGGATTTGAACCCTAACCGCCTGCATGAGTACATCGTGCCTTGAACCCTGATCTATCAGACTTTTTTAATTCTTTAGTGACAGTTTGGGTTATTATTCTGCTGCTAATGAAGAAGCTATTTATTTACAATATTTTTTTATTTTTGTAAAATTTTTACTTATTTAAACATTCTTTTAATTTTGAAGAATTTTTACTTTATTTTCGAAAGTACGACGACACTATTTTTTCAATAAGATATTTATGTTTAACTTAAACACTTCAAATACTAGTAACGACTGACATAAATGTTTAGTGATTCAAAGCAAAACTGATCTCTGCATAATTTCAAATTATTAAAAAAAGAAAAATGAACACCTCATGTAGGTTTTGAACTCTAATCATCTGCGTCGCAGAGTCGAATTCTTACCACTAATCCACGAAGGATTGCTGATTATTCTGTGACAAAAGTGTATGAAACTCCTCAAATCATAGTAGAAAAGTAGAAATTATTCTTGGTTAATAATTTAAAACATTAGAATAAGTAATCACTATTAATTAAATTATTTTATTCACATTTTTGCTTTTATCTAAATTAAAAAATGGAAATACGTCACACATACGACGTCAAACTGTCAAACATAATAATTATGACCGAGGTGATTTAGATCGAAGGTAACGTCTAAAGGTGTGAGACTATCGATAGTCGTAATGTAATGTAATGTAAATTATAGGTTTCTATCGATTATTTCCCACCTCTACGACTTTCATCTCCTTTTATTTCACAAGGTAACTGTGTTTTCTATCTCTTACGTTAAAAAGCCGGGTAATAAGGCACTCACCACTGTATAGAGGCTTTTTTAAAATATTCAAAATGCTCCAAATCCGCGCCAAAACTAAATAAAAAGAATTTTAAACTGTTAAACTGGTATGCTGCTCCAGCGGAGTAAAGGGGAACTATGATCATATGTTAGTTATGGAGTCAGAGAATATATAGCATAAATAGCGCAAAACGATGTACTATTACTTATTTAAATTTATATTGTGAAACTGTTAATTCTTAACAAAAATTATTGTAGGTTTTATATAATATTTAATAGTACTCTATTTGTAATTATTTGTGATAATGTTGTAAATATATTTACATTACCTTAACATTTTCATATGCAGATCCAACCTTTTCCTCGAAAGATTTGAATGATTCTGAGTGTCGCATTTGTCCTATTTTATTGGTAATGTTTCCCGTGATCCCTCCTATAAGTGATGACGTTTTCTGATATCTGTAATAAAACATCATATGAATACTTTGATGTATAGTTACAGTCACAATGCAAGTTGTAGTCTAGTACTTACATAGGAGCATCTGTCACAGCCTTAGTTACTTGACCAACTTTAGTTTCTACAGTTTGGTATCTAGTAACAAAATAAATACAAATAAAGAATAAAAATCATGCATTAGCTATAAAATAAATGCATATAATCTAATATACATGCCACTCAATACACAAGAAAAATAAGAATTAAAGAATATTTTTAGATACTACAGTAAAATACCACAATTGTAGCAAGTGACTCATGTTTTAATGGTTTTTATAGGCCAGTAAAATTTAACGATTATTAATGATTTAATAAACAAATTAGTGGATTATTGGAATCGGTTTAATCTCTTAAAAATTGAGAAAAACCTTCTGACTGTTCAAAGAATATACATTTATATAGAAGATCTCATTTTATATGAAATGCATGTCAATAGTTTAACTGGTCTATTTTTAAACTGTTCAAATCTTTTGGCAAATATTTGGGTTCTAGGGAAAATGTAACGTTGTCAACATGTCCGAATCAACTTAAGTTATCTGAAATGTTGTAGATTATACCTTTCTCTAACGGTAGATAATGTCTGAGATCAACAATTTCGTCCCAAATTCAGGCGTTGTAACTGGAAACAATGCCATTGTGAAGTCTGCTATCTGAAGTCAGTTTCGTAAGCGCACTGACAGGGGCTTCATAACATAATTGGAAGCAGAGAACAGAATTGTTTGTAGTGATATTAGTGGCAGGCTCTTTTACGTTTACTTTTTGTGAATTGTGAGTAGTTTAGTGTCATTCAATTTGGTGACAAATTGGTAGGTACGGTTGAAAATATAGTTGGACAGTTCGGACTAGGAACTAGAAACGAGAGAGGAGAAAGGCTCATAGAATTCTGCCAAGAAAAGAATATGATAATTGCCAATACTTGGTTCCAGCTTCATAAGAGAAGACTATATATTGTCAGAAACCAGATAGACTTTATACTCGTAAATAGCAAATATAAAAACTCTATAACATTAGCTAAAACTTATCCTGGAGAAGATGTTAACTCAGACCACAATCCGTTAGTGCCTGACGTGAAAATAAAATTAAAAAGAATTGAACTCAGAAAACAACAACCAAAAATTATGTAAGAATGCTACAAAACGAAGAAATAAAAAACGAATTAAAAAATAATGTGAATCTTAATATGCAAAAAAGACTAACTGACAACAAACAAATTATAGATGTAAATAAAAAGTTGTATAATATAAAAAAACACTTTACTGAAACCAGCTCAAGAAAGTTTGATACAACATAGGTCAGAGGCTAAAAAACAGTGGATGACAGAAGACATACTACTACAGATGGAAGAAAGAAGGAAATATAAAGGAAAAGATCTACAGAAATCTAAAGAAATACAACGAATAAAACAGCTAAGGAAATATATTTGATGAAACAATGTAAAGAGATAAAAGAACTAGAAACAAAATATGATATGAGAACAAAATATGATATGATATGTGCACAAAAAAAATAGAGAAGTGACTGGAATGGGTCGAAATATATAGCAAGGACACATAAAAGACAAAAAAGGAGTACTACTAATAGATTTACCAGAGAAATTAAGACGATAGGAGGAGTACGTTAGAGAACTTTTCCAAGATGAAAGAGGTGAAATGCAGAAAATACAAGAATTAAATCCTTTAGAGAGACAGAAAATCACGATAGATGAAATCAAATATGCTATCAAAAACTCAAGACAATAAGGCAGTTGGATTAGATGAAATACCAGTAGAACTGTTAAAACTAGTGGGAGAGGACTTGGAAGTATTATGGCAGATTTATTCAACACGGTGTACGATACGGGAATAATACCACAAGAGTGGCTGTCAGCATTTATAACCATTCCTAAAAAACAAGTAGCAAAAGAGTGCTCTGATTACCGAACACGGAGCCTCATGAATCACACGTTAAAAGTACTGCTGAAAGTAATACATAAGAGAATATACGAAAGGCTAGAGGAGGATATTAGCGAGACGCAGTTCAGGTTCCGAAATGGAATGGGTACTCGAGAAGGACTATTTGCCATCAACATATTGATTCAGCGATGTTGGGATGTAAACGTTGATCTACACTTGTGCTTCGTTGACTACGAAAAAGCTTTCGATAAAGTAAGACATGAAAAACTAATAACAATACTTATTAACAAGCGCATTGATAGCAAAATCATAACCCGTAAATCATGCCTCGTAGACACACCGTCTCAGGACTAGCAACTTCAACGTGGAGTCATATGTCGCCATGTTACCTAATCCAACGGTAACTTTAACATCTCAACATATTAAAAGAAATATTGTAAACTAAATGTAATTAATTATTTGTTAACGGGTTTTTACCCATATATTTAGTGGCTATATTCATGTACTCCTAGACACTGATGATGGAATATGGATTCCGAAAACGTTTTGTCTAACTTAGCCCGTTTGGGTTGTTAAATATATACCTTTTACAAACGATTTTTAATAAATTTTTTTAACAAATATTCTTTTTTAAGACGCTGGATAGATATAAATATTGACCACTTAAAAAAAATTTTGGGTCTCTGCATATTAATGAGAAACATAAAACTTCCTTCCTTACGTTTATACTGGAGCACAGATCCACTATGTCACTCTTCAATATTTGGAAAAACTATGCCCAGATCAAAATTTGAAGTTATTCTTCAAAATATTTGTTTTTACAAGCCGGAAGACGTAGAAGTTTAAAATCGACTTCACAAAATTAAAAACGTTATTAGTCATATTATAAATAATATCTCTAAAGTTAACTATCCAGGAGAGAACTTAAGTCTTAACGAAGCTCTCTTACCGTGGAGAGGGCGGTTAATATTCCGACAGTATATGCCGAAAAAAACTAGTAAATATGGAATAAAAATTTATGAAATTACTAGCTCTCATGGATTTTTACTAATGATTTCCTAATCCACAGCGGCAAGTGGACAGTAGTAAATAAAAATGGGCATGTGTTTGAAGTAGTTCACAGGCTTGTTAGTGAATATTCAGAGAAGAGGCACACTATATACATGGACAATTCTTGCTAAGTTTTTACATGCAAAGAAGACCTACGTTTGTGAAATATTAAGAAAAAACAGAAAAAGTAACCCAAAAAGTGTTATTAATTACAAAAAAAATAATTAAAGAAACGAGAAGTCGTATGGCAAAGAAGAGGTCCAATCAGAGTATTAAAATGGAAAGATAAAACAAATGTAATGATTTCTTGATCATCATGAAAAAGAAAATGATGGTACAAACTGGTTGTTGAATAAAAATAGAAACACCTCAAAGAAAAAAAGAATGTCGTACCTTCACTTTAGAGAGGAAGTTATCAAACATTTATTGGGACCAACAGAACGGCCAAGCAGAAAAAAAGTTGTTGCGGAACACAACTTAAAAAAAAAAAAGAAAAAAAGAGGAAAAGATGTCGACAGTGCAGTGAAAGCAAAAAAGGGCTGTTCCCTGGTACACATGTCAGGAATGTAAGGGGAGTGATGAACAGCCCTCTGGGTTATGTGTTACATCCTGTTTTGCTGAGTGACACAGAAAAGAGATTAATTTTTATTTTTGTTAATGTTAAAGAAATCAATGATTGTTTATAAGTAGTAGCTAAAAATTTTTACGTCACATATTTGTGACATTTGGGTTATGTTCAAATTTTTATTACTATAAACCAGTGTCACACATGTGTGACATTATCGTAAACAATTTTTTTACAATCCTTGTGCAATCATAATACTCCTCCCCAAAATGGTGGATTTGGCATGTTTGTTTTATGTATAACCTCAATCAGTTTGACTGGACTGACCTAAAAACAGGTTGGTCGCGAATGTGTTAAATTTCAATTGACAATAGAAATTAAATTTAATCCTTGAATCCGTAAGCTTGTTAATTTAAACGGATAAAGGGTTTTTCCAAAAAATATATATTTAACAAGGATAAGTTTTCTTTTTATTATTATTTTTTAAATTATTATTATATTATTACTTTTTTTATAAGAAGCGCACGCCTATGACTCATCGATTTCGTTTGCTCTCAGACCCGCAAAGGTCTACCTTGAAAATATGACTCACTCGTAACAATTGTGGTATGTACTATAGTATTTTTGCTAAAATAGTGTTAAACCTCAATATTCCCTCTTATTTATAGCGTAATCCAATCTACGTATTTTTCAAAAGCATTTTTTTTAAATTCAGAAACTTCAAAACAATATGAAATCCAAAATCCTTAATAACAATATACTGTTCTATATTACACTATTCTATATTATAGAAAAGTAAATTTAGCTGGCGGCTTACAATAGGTTAAGAAATGTATTCAAAGATAGCGAAGCTAATTGGAATAGCTTAAAAATAAAACTTCTAATACATGCATACTAATAACGCTTAGAAACGAAGTAGAAATCTTAACCACACAAAATCATCCACAAAAAAATTGATTAAAATACAAAAAAAAAAGGATGAGGATGAGAAAAGAAAGAAAAAAAAAGCTCACAGGTAGAAAAAAAAACATTATAGAATGTAAGTATAGTAATAAACACGACAAGTATTTTTTATATGTTAATTATTGTGTTTATATGGGATAAAGCCACTTCATTTTCTGGATGGGCTAATCACAAAAGAGGATACAAATCAATATATCAAATCAAATATCCAATGATCAAATTAATATTTGATAGAGCCCAAAACACGTGCTCTCATGAAGAGGCATTGAAAGATGAAAACGACCTGGGAAAAAAGGTTTTGACAAAAAATGACCACCCATTGTTATTTATTAACAAGGAATTCCTCCAGATTTCTCAGATCTATCCTATTCTAATCCAAACCTAACAACACACAAGTGATATCGAAGAACTGTATATATAAAATATCCTGTGAACGCAACAATTTATATATGGGAGAAACCGCAAGATCACAAAGTGTCAGGATAAACGAGCATGAAACATACATTAAAAACAGGGACCTCGACAGATTACAGATATGCAAATATGTCTGGGACAATGAACATATAGTACAGTGAAAAGATGCAAACAATAGTCATGACAGAAACAGACAGGAAAACGAGAAAAATCAAAAATCATCCTACTCAAAGAAGAAAAATGTGTAGTAAACCAATCAGCAGAAACTCCAAGACATCGTCTTTAATCATACACAATTAACATCCAACACAGAAACACAATACAAGAGGGGAATGGGACAATTCGCCGTCGCCAATTCGCCATCGCCGATTCACCGTCGCCCATTCACCGTAGGGACAATTCACCGGCAGCCGATTCTCCGTCGCCGATTCGCCGTCAGAAATTTAATTTTGAGCATGTTTATTAATAACATTTGGTTATAAAAATAAGATTTTAGGCAATGCATTATTTTATGGTAAGTACCTGTTTTATTGAGTTGGTGTTTTATTTTTATTAGGAATAAAATATTTTACAAGAACTGGCGGACCAAAGAATTTTACATTTAGTACAAAATTATAATAGAGAAAATATTTTAGAATATCTCGGAGGCTTAGCCCATAACTACGAAATGTAGAAATTAATTTTTTAATAAAACAAAACATAAACTAATGGATTACTTGTTTCATTTACTTAGCAAAAATATTTAATTAAACATAAAATTATATGAATTAAGTTTTCGTTATACACCAACCCTCAATAAATGGGTACTTACTAAAAAAAAATTATTACCTACTTTTTTTTAATTCTTGTTAAACATTTTTTATTCCAACAATAATTTAAACAAAAAATTAAATCCTTGAATCATTATTCACTGGTTATTAATGGTCATTAAATAAACAACAACTAATTTAACCCACATTACAAGATCAACCACCCTAATTGTTTTCTAGTTCTTGTTAAATATTTTATTCCTAATAAAAATTTAAACATCAACACACCATTAAATGGTACTTACTATAAAATAATTTATTACCTAAAATCTTCTATTTATAACCAAGTGTTAATAATAAAAATTCTAAAAGTTAAAATTCCGCGGCGAATCGGCGACGGCGAATCGGCTAACGGTGAATTGTCCCTACGGTGAATGGGCGACGGTGAATCGGCGACGGCGAATTGGCGACGGCGAATTGTCCTAGACCCATACAAGAGCGCTCACCAACACACAATTTTTAGTGAAATATGCAACATTGATTTAGAAGAAAAGAACAATTTTAAGCAGAAATTCACGAAAACTAAATAAATAAGAAATAAAATCCTCCGGACAACCGTCCGGAGATAGTGAGGAATTGCAGCAGGAAAGTACACTGGTGAAATGATAACCTTGCAAATCAGAAGAAAGAAGTTATTTGACGAAAATTTAATTTCGCCCAAAAATCAGGCGAGTAGGACAATTATCGCACAGCTCTGACTGAATATAATAAGGAACTGAGAAAGGCAAAAAGGAAATCGTGGGGAAGGCATTGCGAGGAGATAGAACAGACTGCAGAAATGTCAAGGTTAAATAAAGTTCTCCCAAAGGACCCTTTGAAAGTATTCCCTCGCTCCAACAGGAGTCAGGTGAATACCCTCACAATGATGACGAGACCCTGAAAGACTTTTTTAGGATGCCCTTCCCTGAGTGTGTAATAAAACTGATACCTCTAGACACATAGCAGACTAGACTGGATACTGGAGACTGGACTTATGGTTCTAGGGAAAACTGGCGTGTGGCAAAAGAAGTGATAAATCAAATGGACAATAAACTCATTTGAGCCATATAATTGGACTTATCCAATATTTCTGCAGAAGAGAAATAACCTTTACAAAAAATTATATTCGCATGTAAGCATGGAGACTAATAAGAGTAGCTTTTATACACAAATCTGACAAAACCGAACAGGAAAATGCAAGTCAAGTTATTGACTTAGCTTTAGTTCAGACAAGTTACAGTAGGACACAGCAAATCTAACAGATTAATTGTTTTTGTTACAAATATAAATGACAATACAGTTGTTGAGATAATAAATAATAGATAGTAGACAATTTGTCAACAATGAGGATACAATGAAAGTGATAGTGTTTGTAAATAGTACAAAGGTAGTAGACTTCTTACAGAAACTTCTTTTATTAATGGGAATAAAGGTTTCGTAATACACACATCAAAATAATCTATGATACAAAAATAAAATGCGACATAACAAAAGTATTTCAAATAATTTATTTCAAATATTTTTAATAAAAAGGTATGAACAAGTGTCTCGAATATAAAATAAACATTTTTTCATATAATTATCGCAATAGCTCGTAAGAAAATTAAAAGAGAACTCAATAAGTCAAAAAATGGTAACAAAAAAAATAAAAAAACTATTTTGTTGTCTCTCAACTCCCAACAAAGTAGTCTTTAAGTTAAGTTAGTATAGTGTATGACCTACACGGTTGTTGGTTACTGTTCTACATCTGTACGACAAATTCATGATCAGATGGTCAATGTCTTCTTGCAGTACTCTGTTCCGCTCCATTGAAAGACACTCAAACAGTTTTGTATTCAACGCAATATTTTGTTCTAAAGTGCGTCTACCCAATATGTCCCATACATGCTCAATTGAGTTTAAATCCGGCGATTGTGCAGGCCATGGTAATACCTAAATTTCATTATTTCGAGGAATGTTCGCACCACCCTGTGGAGTATGTGCATTAATTGAAATTGGGGACCAGCTTATTGTGCAAATGGTACAACAATAGCTTGGAGAATAATACCGCAGTAGTTCGTTGCATTTAAAAACATTCCAGACAAACGAAATTGGTTCTTCCAATAAGAGCGATGCCACCCCATAGCATTATACGGCTGCCTTGCTGTCTATGAAACTCCGGCACGATGGCCAATCGTTTAGCATTGCCAGATTGTCTCAAAAATCAGGACTTATCTGTGAACAAAGAACCTAACCCTTTCTTTGAGCATTTAACCCTAATTCATGAAGTCTATTTCTAATGGTTTGACCATTTACAAACACCTTATGGGTCTCTTGCAGCCTCATTGTAATTATGATGCAATTACAGTGCGATCTCACAAGGCCTGCAACCTAATAAAACGGTCTTCAATCTAATTTGTTTTCCTTGTACGGCTTGTATGGCGTTTAGTCACGTCACCAGTTTCTTGACACTTTTACCACAAACGATTGACACTTCACCTCAGCAATGTCTCTTTGACTTCTGTCAGCTGTCACTGCATTTCGTGATTTAAATTATGTCTCTACATGACTGGAAATTGCAAAACTAAATAAAAATCCACATTGACATCGAAAATCAAGTACCAATGAAGAAATATTACTTTTTATCTTATAGACAAAAACGCATATTGAAGTTTTGTTAAATTTTTAATAGCCTTTCAAATCAGCATTACCATCCAAGTTGGTACAATAATCGCCAAAACAATAAAAAAGATAAAAACACAAATTTACTTTTGTGTTTGCGGCTAACATTGATTTAAAGCTATTATTATAGGTGTCCCCTAGATTATTTTGTTATGTGTACTTATATAGATGTTTGGGACTTACATGGCTAGTAAAACAATCTAAGACTTTATCGCCATTATTCTAAAATTTACTCCAAATTTATTACTACATACTTAAGTACTTCAACTGTTTATTATATCAAACTATTTCCTCCACCTCTTTGTCTATCTCTTTGAACCCATTTTTTGGAACATTCTTTGAAATAAACAACTAAAACATTTACATTTAAAAACTACTTACACATTACTCTCCTTGACATTCTTAATTCCTTGATTAATATCGTCTGTTACTTCTTTCCATACGGTGATGCCTAAATTCCGTTTTAGTTCGGCACTTCTGCGCATCTTAGACGCAAGAACTGTCCGCAACGTCGAGATTTCGTCTTCGATCGTGACTAGTTCCTCTCTCCATAATCTTTCCTGCTCAGCTTTTTCTTCTGTAGACAAGTGAGAAAGATCCGGAATTGGGGTTTCTGATGCTGCCATGGCTTCTTCTGATATTAAATAAAAACAAAAAATTAGTTAAAATCCCAATGGGATTATAGTTTTTGTTTGCCAAAGTGATATCTATATAGTGGAAAAGGTTGCCAAACTTCAAAAATTAAGACATATTTGGGAAAATATTGGAGAAATAAGTGTTTATATGTATGTAGGATATGGTTGAATGCTCGAATATATTAATTTTACAAATCAAAGGCAGATATCGAGCACAGTTCTTTTACTAAAACTTGCCCAAGTACTTTTATAGTCATAAACATTTAAATACATCTACACAAAAACTAACACGAGACAAAGGAGAAACAGTTTAAAAATTCTTTGGATGCTACATTATGGGCAATAGCAAGAGCACAATGGCTCGTGGCCGTTCAGATTTAACGGAAATGTTCAAGTGACATCTGACATATGACAACTAACATAGGCAATCACCATTACAGTAATTTGCACATTTCAAAAAAATTCTATGGTAAACTGAACATTGACCACAAGTACGAGCCCTAACTACTGTATGTTGAAATAAGCAGTTATTTTGCAAATAAAATACCAATTTACCGAAATACTTTTATTTTAATTTTTTTTTAATTGTAAATATCAAATTAACAACATTTTTTATTATGTATGGAATTATTTTTACAGTTTAATTATATATTTTATGTTGATTTCTATTTAAATAATTGACAGCCAAAAAATGCTGACAACTGAATATTGGAACAAAAGGTTTTTAACAAATTAAAATGGCGTAACGTTACTTGAATAACAGCCTGAACTCTATTAGGCATTGTATCAACTAGACCTTCCCAGAATTCATGGGTGAAATTATCCCATATTTCTTGCAATTAAGTAGTTGTAGTTGTGGCAAAGTATGCCGAGAGTTATTTCTTAGGCGTTATTTCATTTTGTGCCAAAGTATCTTTATTGGATTAAGATTCGGACTGCTAGAAGGATGTGACAAAACTTTAATGTCATGTTCTCCCATCCATTTTTTGGTAGATGTAGTCGTATGGCATGAGGCTCCATCCTGCTGAAAGATAAAATCTCCGGATGGATATAACTTTGCCGCACTTGTTAGAAACGAATGTTAAAGGATATCTTGATATTTGGCTACATTTACTATGGCCTCAATAAAGTGTAAAGTTCCCAACCCTTTGGCCCCGACATACAACTCCACACCATGATGCCCTGTGGAAACTTTACAGTCCTTTTGAGATAATCCTTATGGAATGCTTATCTTTTTCACGAATCACACGCTTTCGATAATCTTCCAAACAGACATCAAATTTGCTTTCGTCGCTATAAGTTTGTTCTAGTTATGTTTGGTCTCACGCCGTAACCAGTGAAGGGGAGGTGAGTCGAAAATATAAATATGTCCCTGGCAATTACATGAAAATAACTGCCAGAGTATGCAACTAGAGAGCTCTAGTGAGGAAAGATGAAGATACGTCGATAGCAATTAAAGTAAACTGTATACCCAAGCTTAATCAAGCCATTCAGAGCGGTGCTGGGAATAATATTCCACTATGCACCAACAATTAATTGCTATCGACGTATCTTCATCTTAAACATAATATATTCAAGTGTTTTCTCGAATTATTTGGCAACACTCTCCACTATCTTAAATTGATTCTAATATTTCTAAAATAATGCGTGATAAATTACTAAGTTCTACTATATACACTACATATATTATAACAATCTACTATAAAAAGCATCACTGAGACAAACATTCAAGACAGCAGTAGCAATTGTGTAGGCTAGTTTAAAAAACACCAAAAAAATGTACGATAAAATGAAACTATTCAATTGCTTAACTTTTTTTGTTGGTTTATCTTGAATTGTGACTCTCTACCTTAAAATAATTTTTATAAGTAATATTTTCATATCAGAATTAAATTAAATGTATACAAGACTGTAATACAAGAACGTAGACAACTCCATATTATGTACGCAGTACCTGGTCAAATTATTAGGCCAAGCATTAAAAATTTGCATTTTTTTAAATTAATAATTTTTATCAACAGGAATGTTATTATTTTTTCGCATAGCAACATTTAATATAGTTTGGTAACATTATTGTACTATTTTACGTTGGCAACACCGCCCTATCCGCCATTTCTAGACAGCATTGCGTTCTGTCAACTAGTGTGCGTTTTACACCTGAAATACTGTCTGTGAACATTTGAATTCTAAACCTTTTTGACTTGAAATTTTATTGCAGAGTTGAGTGATTTATCCTTTTTTTTTATTATTTTTTAGATTATAAACATTGCAATGAAGTTATTGGTATAATTAAGGGTATTGTTATGTATTTATTAATTCTAATTTATTGTTTTTATTATTTATCAAAGGTTCTATATTTATAACACTTACAACTTAATTTAAAGTTTATTTATAATTTATCTTACAAAAATAATTTATTTATACGGACGTTACATTTTAAAATACCTGTCGCGATCTTCTTTTCTGACTGACTGTGACGTCACCATCGACGGTATAAATGAACCGTCCCCTGTTCCCAGCCGTAGTAGTGATAGCGAAGTGAACAGTGACAAGTGTAGTAGTATCTGGGGGCTCGGGTGACGGAGACCTCGGAAGCCCTGAGGAAGACATCAGAGAGGATGTCGAAAGCTCGGCCCAATGGATATCGACGCGGTTCAACCCGGAAGACTGGTGAGTTTAATATTAATTTTTGTAATAGTATTAATCTTAGCTCTAGGTTTCATAGTAAAAATTTAGTTATTAATTCATTTTGTTTGCAAAAAATTTCCACCAAAGACGATTCCCATTTTGGACAATGCACCTGCCCATCCTAAAGCCGGTATGCTGCGGAGTGACGATAAAAATATCACGTACTCGTTTCTGCCTGCGAATACATCATTGATACAACCAATGGATCATTTGGTCATTAACACATTCAAAAGAAGATACAGGAAAAAATTTATTCAAAACCTAGTTATGGAAGAGAAATATTCTTTGCCAGAATGCTGGAAAGCATACAATTTAAAACACGCAGTCGACAATGCTGTGGATGCTTGTGCTGATGTTTCGGAAGTAACGCTGAAAACAGCTTGGAATAAATTATGGCAAAATCAACAAAAAAGATGAAAATGCTTCCCTTAAATGCAGTTATGGCTAAATCAATTGTTTTCTTTTCGTTGATGAAGACGCAAACGGCTATCGATTGCTGACAGACGATGAAATCGTTGAAATGACAACAGAGGCACACGAAACAGATTCAGAAGCCGACTTTGATGGTGGCGATGTTGATGATGCTATTACAAATCACAAAGATTTGCGTAAAGAAGCTAGAGGAGCTGCATGGCACATACAACAACTTATCAAGTGGTATTCTCGACAAGAAGAAGCAAATAAGGTAGATTTAATGATTTTCCGTCGATTAAGAAATTCAGCCGTTGCAAAATGTTCAGTAACGATAAAACAAACAAAGATTTCGGAATAATTTAAATCAAATTGTACTAACATAATCCCTCTTATATTGTCAAATAAAACATATAAATAAAATTTGAGAGTTATACTATGAGTTTTTTTTAATGTTCTGTTAACTGTCTTTTCGATTATCCGTCATACCCTTGATCCAGTGCCCTGACGAATAATCGAGGTTCCACTGTATATACTACTTTCCAAAATTAATGCATCTCCTTAAATGGACCATATTTTGAAACTATATTTCTTCTGAACCTTTAATTGGATTTCAATGATTTTTTTTACATTGTAGGTATATTTCTAATTAATTACTGTATGAATGTTTTTTGAGAAATGTCAACGTTTTAACTATATACAGGGTGTAAAAATAAATTTGTGTATTTTCATCTAAGTTTGCAACATCATGTGGAATGTATTAGAAACAAATGCTACATCCTATGAATATTTATAGATAGCTTTATCCTTTCTCAATATTTTCGGAAAAAAAAAAATAATTCTAATACCTCTATTAAAAAAAAAAGAAAAGTATGTTCAAAGCATTGCTATTTCTCTTTTGAATCCCAATTGGATTTCAAAGATTTTTTTTTGCATTGCAGATCTATTTCTAACTAATTACTTTATTAATGTTTTCTGGGAAATGTCAATGTATTACCCATATACTGGGTGTAAAAATAAAGTTGTTTTTTTATCTTATTTTGCAACACCCTGTGGAATTTATTAGAAGCAAACGATACATCTTATTAATATTTCGAGATAGCTTAATTTTTTTCAATAGTTTGTAAAAAAAGCGTGTAAAGCAAACAACCAAACAAGACACCATAGACAAGAAAAAGGAAGACTCAAAACACCATGCCAAGATCAGTTTATCAGGTTTTATGCTATAAGAGACATTTTGTCACAATGAGACATTTGCAAATAATACAAGTGGCATATGTTCATATATTCAAATTAGTAGAAACTCTATACAAAAGCGTCTTGTTGAACAAGATCAGAATGTAAGGATACCAGCCAGAGCACCAGTTTTAAATGTAAATCATTGTATAAGTAGATTACAATTTGCCAGAGAGCACCTTGACTGGAATGTTGATGACTAAGTGCATGTGTTGTTCACTGATGAATCGAGGTATTGCTTATATAGCTTAGATGGACATGTGAAAGTTATTGGATGGCCAAGAGAACACTACTCACAGTGCAACATACGACATATTACTTTATTCAATGGAGGATCTGTAATGGTTTGGAGAGGAATATCTAATAACAGTGTTGCTGCTGCATTGTTAAAGGTTTCTTAACAAAAAAAAAGGTATATTACAGGAATTTTGTCTAACCCTGTAGATCCATTTGCTCCTTCTTTTATTGCATGATAATGCTCGACCACATGTTGTATGTGTGGTCCATGATTATTTGAGGTTGGAATACAAACCATAAACTGGCCACCCCGTAGCTCTAATCTCAATCCCATAGAGAATTTGTGGGATAATATTGATCGCTGATTCAGGAGGTGACAACCACCTCCTGTCTCTCTTAACGACATAGAAGGTGTGGTGAGAGAAGTTTGGGATGCAATTGATCAAGACCAAATTTGCCGCTTTCTAATAAATTCCACAGGGAGTTGTAAAATACGATGAAAAACTACAACTTTATTTTTACACCCCGTATACAGGTAAATTGTTGATAATGTTTAGAAAACATTAACACGATAACACATGATATATTAGAAATAGACTTCTTCTTCTTCAAGTTCCACTCCTATCGGAGATTGGAAATCATTCTGGCAATTATAATTTTATTGGTTACTCGCCTGAATAGTTCAATTGAACTGCATCCAAACCACTCACGGAGATTGCGTAGCCACGAGATTTTACGTCTTCCTACGCTTCTTCTACCTTTGATTTTACCCTGCATTATATTCGTTAGTAGTTCGTACTTTTCACCTCTCATGATGTGCCCCAAGTATTCCAATTTCCTGATCTTTATGGAATTTAAAACTTCGCATTGTTTTCCTAGTTGTTCGAGAACTTGTTCGTTTGTTTTGCGATCCATCCATGATATTTTCAAAATGCGTCGGTAACACCACATTTCGAATGCTTCTAGGTTTTTAATGTTGGATTTTTTAAGTGTCCAAGCTTCAACTCCATACAAAAGGGTAGAGAAAATATAACATCGAAGCATTCTTATCCGGAGCGATATATTGATATCGCGATTACAAAAAAGTTTTCTCATTCTATTAAAAGTTGACCGCGCAATTTCACGGCGGCATCTTATTTCTTTTGTCTGATCAGTATCTTCTGTGATCCATGCTCCAAGGTATTTGTACGAAGATATTTGTTCAATTTCTGTATTATCTAGTACTAGCTTAACTTTGATGTTTTGTGCTTTTGTAAATACCATGAACTTGGTTTTCTTCAAATTGATTTTTAGTCCATAATCGTTGCAATATATATTTAGTTGTTCAGCAAGGTGTTGCAGTTCTTCTAGTGTTCCTGCCAAAAGGACTGTGTCGTCAGCATATCTTATGTTATTAAGTGGCTCACTGTTTATTATAAGGCCCTCACTGATCTCGGCAAGCGCTAATTCTGAGATGGATTCACTGTATAAATTGAATAACAAGGGTGATAAAATACACCCTTGGCGGACCCAAGAAATAGACTTATAATGTGAGAAAAAAAAATCATCAATATCCAATCATACATTTTGAAGAAAAATAGCTTCAAACTTATGGTACATTTAAGGTGGTGCGTCAATTTTGGGCAGTAGTGTAGATTTGTCAGTCTATTCATGGTATATAATGATAAAGCTAAGGTTTTAGAAACAAATTGTTTTTTTTTTCGTTTGTCTAAATTAAATAATTAAATCAGCATAGTATACAGGTAATGTTTTGAATTAAATATTTTATACATTACAAAGTGTGCTGCCACAGTAAATAAACACTTTAGGACTTAATTCAAACATTACCAATATTTCTGATAAAACTTTATAATACTTAAGTACTTAAATTTTCATTATAATAAAAAAATGTTGCAAGAAACAATTTTGCACCCAGCTTTTGTGATACCTGATAAATTTTAATTTAATAATTATTACAAATATTCACTGATAAATATGGTAAAAACTTACCGTTAGTAGTAATATCTAAATATCTTCGAAAATTACTATCTTTAGGTAATTTTGCTAGATATGGTTTAGTAAGATCACAATATGTTACCCGGACTTGTTTCTTTAACTTGTTTTTAAAAAAAGTTCTTATTATCAAATTAGCTCTCTTTACATTAAAAAATTCGGCTTCAACATTAACTGATTCTGATTCGTCTGGATAGGAATATATACTGTTATGAGTTACTTCATCAAAGTCCAACTGACGCAAATCAAACAAATCTAATTCATTTTCCAGTAAGTCATATTCGTCCAGATCCGGTTCATCTAAACTCGGAGTCGCACTGGAAGCTTGTGGATTAAAATAAGGATCTTCAATATATTCTAAATTTGGGTCTTCAATATTTTGCATTATATTTCAATAATGCTTCCGAGCAACTTGACATACATTTTAAAAAACAATGCGTTTTAGTAAATGCCAGACATTAACTAAACAATGTGCAATGAAATGCTTACGCGGCTGAGAAAGTTAGTATTTATTATACCGTTGTTTTTGTATGTTGAAGGTAAAGCTTTCACCAAATACTTGAAAATTAAGCGGTCCTGTAATATATGCAACCATTATAACTTTGAAATATTTGGGAGTGACTACGAGATCAAAAAGGTCCAATAATAATTATTGAATGGTGACATTTCATTGTTTATGTACCAGAACAAAAACTGTTTTATAGTTTTGTCATATTACGCAATTATTGGAATCATCTAAAATAAAATCATTTACAAAGAGACCCTGTGAAGAACTACAAGAAAATTTTGTGTTTCCACCACTAAATTTTTTACACCTTATACATTGTTTGCTTATACTAATAATCGTAATAAAAATGTATTATTGAAACGCAAGAATTATGCATTAAGGTTATTCTTGACTACTTCCAAGTCTTTGTAATTTCTATAAAAAACCAATATGTTAAATTACTAATCATTTTAAGAAATTATAATCGATAAATAATAATTTTATTTATTATTAAACAAAATCTAGTAATTTTAAAAATGAATACATAGATAATAATTTAGTCTCAAGAATATTATATATTTACATAATAAATAATTAATAAAACATATCTTAATCGATTTCTTATTACAAAAGTATTTGTTTACAACAGGTTTTGCAATATGTAGGAGTATTAAATCAGTTACTTCGGAAACCATAGAATTAGTATGCTTTACCGGACACGTCATATGATGGAAGTTTGTCTTTTTCAAAAACCAATACATAATTCTTTATCATTAATCTTATCAAATTTTAGGTAACAGAGACCAACTAGTGATAATCAAATTTTTTACTTGTGATCGTGGGCAGAAAGCACAAAGTGATGCAAAACCAACAATACTACATTGAATACGGATACTAGCCTACCTGCTGTGGGGCTTATGTTGTTCATTTTCAATAAAATGTATTACCTCACTCACAGAAAATAAAAATGGTGAAAAAAACAAAAGGCTATTTTCCTATTAAAACTTGACACTAATGACAAATATTGACTAGCCGCTCGCCGCTGCCACTTTCACGTTTACAATAAATAATATCAATACCAACTTTATAGCCAAAACGAGACTGAATTGAAATAAAGGAGATGCAGTGAAGTTAGCAACAAACAATAAAATAATTCATAGGCGTCGAAAAAGGGTTGTTGGACAAGATATTTTCAAACTAAGATCTGAAGCTCTGTAGTGTCACCTCGGGGAAATAAACAAGGGTCTAACCACCTTCTGCAAACTCCGGGTGCTCTGTAGAGGGCTTCGAAAATGTCGACGATAGCTTCTCTACTTAAGTCCATTTCCAGGTTATGGATCTTGGAAAAAGGCAAGATATTTCTTACATGACACAGGTTAAGTCGAAATAAAAATACCAGGTTACAGTAGAACAAAATCTTAGCCTCAGAGTACGGAAAGCTAAAAAAGGAAGCAGAGCCCCGAGAGCACTAAGCTCTCGGAGAGCCCGTGATGGACTGACCTTGTTGACCTGAAAATCGCAAATATTTATATCCGCTGTTCGAGCGATTAATAGGGATTTCCAGGTCAAGAACCAATGGGAAAATTCGAGGCGGGGCGATGCGCATCGAAGTGCGTAATAGTCTTGCGACTATGGCACTCGATGACAGTAGAAAGCTGAAGCCTTACAGGAGATGCCATAAAACGATTAGAGGCATTTGAAATGTGGTGCTACCGACCTATGTTGAGGGTCTCATATATACCCACACAAGTAACATAACTATTCTCCAGAGGCTAAGAAAAGACAAAGAAATGATTAACACCGTAAAGAACAAAAAATTGGCTTACTTCGGCCACATTCCGCATAATAATAAATACCGACTTCTATACTTCTAGACGTATAATCTGGCCGGTTAATCTTAAGAAGTGGACAGATCAATTTTGAGCTGCTGTGTAAAAAAAAAGTAAAATAATTGTACTAAAACCCAATAAACACTATACATTTTATTGCCCATTGTAACAAAGATCTTTAGAGCTAGCATAGCACTACGTTATATACCAAAAACTTGTACAATTGTAAGGTTGGTATATACTATATAAGGCGACAAAACAACGCTGTACCTAAATACTATAGGCCGATTAGTCTTACATAATTTGTATTGAAAGCAGTAGAAAAAATTCTTGATGCCCATCAAGAAGAAAAATCAACAGAAACAGCACTGGACGAGGTATTTCAGAAAAACAATCACTAATAAATGGAGTTTAAATATAGTTTAAATGTAGTTTAAATAGATTGTGTTAAATGCCTTTCTGGATATAGAAGTTTCATTTAATATGTAATACCAATTTCTCTTTATGATACAGTAGGATCAAAAGGAATATTAACTACCGTATGTAACTGGATCAATGCAGATCTCGTTCCTTCTCGTACAGGGGGTAGACCTATGCGGATGATTTAATAATTGTTATGCTAAGAGTAAAACACGGAAATATTCTATCCAGCACATTTCAATGAACATTAAATCTAAAGATGGGACAGGCAAAACTCTCTGTCAATGCTAGTAAAACAGTACTAGTCAGATTTACAAGGAGACGTACCCTGTACGAAAAAAATATCAGCAGAAAAAAAGTATCAATGAAGTCAAATATCTAGGAGTAATACTGGATAGGCGGCTTACATGGAATGCCGATCTGGAATAAATATCCAACAAAGTGAAGATTTCCCTTTGGACATGTCGAAAGATATGTGAGAAATCATACAATATTGAACCTAAACAGCACAGATATGAGCAACTAAATGCCAACAAAAGACTACCAGAGAGAAGCATGCTTAATCATAACAAGAGTGATGTCAACTACCATAAATGTCTCCATGAGGGTCATACTTTACTACCCTCCATTACATATATGGATGGAGAAGAACATGAAGGTAGGATAAAGAAGTCGAGTATACGGAGAGATATCAAGGCAAAGCCTTAGTGAAAGCTTAAGTTATCACTCCACCATGTTTCAAGCGGAAATTTATATTAGGTATAGCGATGTGCTTTCAGAAACTAATAAAGAGTAACTGCAGGGGGAAATCTTAAAAAATTATATCGGATAGCTAAGGGAAGTTTAAAGTCACTCTAATTGTCAACGGCGACACTATGACTAATATTTCTGTCTCTGCTATTAGGCGTTGATGACCCATTTATTGAGTGACAAAATCATCCATAAATTAATGTTATCAAAGTTTCTAATTTTATTCGAATAATGAATTATTAGAATAAATAAATATAACTTTTTAATATATTAAAATATGTTTCATATATAGTGAGTATGCCGTTTTTATGTAATGCAAATTACATAAAATTACTTTATTTGTATTTTGAGAACTATTTACGAGGTGGAAACAAATGTACTAACCCAACATCAAAATGAACGTATTTCCTATTAAAATATTTAGGATAACAAAAATACCAGAAAAAAATACTTTCAGAACCATATTAAAAATACATGTTACACCCATGATTAAAGTTCAAACTTCTTTTGTTTGTGACGGAAATAAAAAAGAAGAAAATATTTTTATTATTTTAGTTTTATTTAGTTGGCAAAATTTAAGATAAAAGTAGGGTTATGTCACATTAATGCTTTTGGTTCAAAATAATTTATAATATAATACAATTTATATGTAGTTAATTAATATGTATCGACTAACCAATATTTGTTCAAGTACCCTTAGCGACTTAACTAATTACACGAAATATGAAACTGTTCGTTACCTTAGAAAAAGAAAACCAATCCATTTGGGCACAGCTAAAAGTAAACTTTTTAGGATACCAAAACGTCCAGTTTTACCACCAGATGAGAAACTCGAACTGATGAGACTTTTTAACAATTATCGCACAACTATGAAATCGTTACGGTAAGTAAGATCTCAATCGGTTTAAAAACAGTTGTTCAATGATCATATTTGTTTAGTAAATTTATCTAAACGAAAATGTGTAATGTATGTCCACAAGGAAAACAATTCCTGTAGCTGGCTGTATACCACGTATCACAAAAAAAGAGGTTAGTCTTCGTAAGTGGGTATATGTATTTAAAAAACCCTTAAAAGGGCTACATCAAAAAAACAAACGTTTTCGGACTAAACAGTCCATCATCAGGTTTAAATTTTAAAATTGCTAGGTTAAAATGCCTGAGCCACCAAAATACATGGGTAAAAACCCTTTAAATTACATATAGTTGTAAAAGATTATACATCTTATTGTTAAAAAACTGTTATGTTCAGTATTAAATTAAATATGACTTCAGGTAACATACATTGCTGAAGTGAGTTCCAGAGCCGGGGAGTAAACCTCTACACATGGAGAACAGCTGAAATTTCGCTCTGTTTCTGCTGTTGAAACTGGAGTGGTTAATAAAATTTGTAATAGTTTGTGTACTTCAGAAAATTATTTTTCAAAAGAATACTGGATGAGAAAACTAAATAGTTCACTGACTGAATACATATTTTTGAATGTGTCATTTTTTAATACTATGACTTTAATCAAAATGACTCACAATTATTTCACTGAGGTGATAAAGTAACTATTATACTGATTTATTTATAGAAGTAATTGAGGAGACATCAATTTGTAACAATAAACAATTATTAAGGGAAGATAACTGCTTATTTTATAAAAGTAGTGAACCAGTACTATATGTTATCTACAGACCAGTTACTAACAAACAATTAAAAAAAACCCTATTTTGGCATTTGAGTAATATGCTCATTAAGTGTGTAATAATAACTAAGTGTGCAAATTTAAGAATCTGATACTCTTCTATTTACATATCTAATATTTTGTACACCTATTTTTTTCATAAAAAATAACATGTAAATGTTCAGCCTCATCTATCAATTCTAGAGTCCTACAAAAGCTACGTTAATTTTTCAGCAAAATCAGGGATTAAAACATGGTTTAAGCAAAACTTTCTTTTGGAATGTATAACAATTCTTAATGTAAAAATTTTTGATCATGTGTTAATACTGGTCATGCTAGTATTTTGAAAAGTTCCCAATGGAAGCTGGAAAATGTGACATAATTTTTAAAGTTCTATGGACAAAAATCCCTCCAGTTTAAGTTTCGCAATATTATGAATATTCTATTGTACTGTGTAACCATATTGAAAAAAAGTAATACACAAGTTTTATTTTCAGTATGAGATACATGATATGTTATCTGGCTTAATTTTGTTTTTCCCCATTTTTTAAATTCCTTAAATAATTATTTATTAATGAGCAAATTATTTTTAAGATACTACTTTATGGTAAATCACAGTGCAGAATTTGCTGAAGTTAGTGAAGATCCTGAAGAAAGTAGGAGAGTATTTTTAGAAGATTTCCAAAAATGTTCAGAAATTAATGCCAAATGGAATGAGAAACAAAAAGAACTTAGAGAAAAAGATATTGCTGATCAGCACGAAGCAGAACTTACATATGTTATGCAAAGATTAGAATTAGAAAAGAAAAAGCAGCAAGAGAAAATGGAGGAAATAGAAGAAATTGTAAAGGCAGAAAAAGTTGCCTCCAAAGATTTTATTACCGCTGAAAATCTAAATGAAGCTATAGAAAGAGCACTTGCTAATCCTGTAGATTATAATTTTGCTTTAACACCAAGTGGGGAAAAAATTTTAGGTAGGGATACAATTCCTAATAAGGAAAAAGACACAGTTAGTGTTAAACAATAACTATGTATAAATAATATTTATTAGATAATAAAATTAACTAAGGATAAGCTAAGTGTTTTTTCTTTTTACCAAAAAACAAAGTCAGGTTGGATGGGGTACTTGTTTCTTTAATTGACAGATATAGGTATGTAATTATTATAGGTCTAATAAAAATAGTTAAATTTTACTATTGTTTAACATTACATATTTATTAACGCATTAGATAAGGTGTAACTAAAAAAAAAACAAGTGCAGCTTAAATTTTATTTTCATGTAAGTAATAACAACAATTACATACTTTCCTGACTTCCTTAACCTAAAACCTTGTTGTTCTGCTAGTGTTATTCAGTTATCTGTTATCACTGTGGTTGTTAATTTTAGAATTGTGTTTAATAAATTAATTCCTTTGTAATTTCCCAATTTGTCTCCCTTTTTGAATAAAGGTATTAGGAAGCTTGATCCCCATTCATGAGGAATTCTGTTTTGGATTAGTTTTAGTAGTTGTTTGATCAGATGTGCTCCTCCGTAGTTTAGGAGGTATTCTGTCTTGTTCAATTATTTTTTTGGATTACAAGTAGTTTTAATAGTTATTTAGTCAGATTTCGTTATAAAGTCCTCCATACTCTAGTTAATTTGGTATTTTGTTCTCTCTTGATGTTTTTCTATTTTTTAATTTCCTTAATGCTTCCTACACTTGTTCCTACTCAATATTTATTTCTTCAGTTATACAGTTTACTTTAATTGCTATCGATATTTAACTTAATTTATTTCTTTGTTTGTCACTTCTGGTGTTGGTGGTTCATTATCGTCCTCTTTAGCAAATAGGGATCGAAAGTAGTCTGCTCATGTTTTCTTCTGAATATGTTTCGTTTTTATTAGTTCCGGCGGGACATTTGAGTAAATATGTCGGGGGTTTGTCGCGACAGTTTGTACAGGATGGTGTTGTGATGTTCGCTTTGGCAGCATATAGAAGAGTATTTTAGGGGAGAGATGACGTTATTCAATCCAGCGATTTTACAATGTATAATCTTCCCGTTGAGAGCTTAATACTCTATTTAAGTGCTTCTGCGAACTTTTGTTCTAAGAACCAGATAGAGGTTTGATTGGATTTTGCTTGTTGTTTTAGAAACTTTTGTCGTGAGATATTGAAATATCTAGGACCAATGATGATTATGTTATCACCAATATTGTTTCTTAGGTTTGTCTAGAATTGGTGGATATTTAGGGATTGGAATGTGTTGAGGAGTGTTGTTTTATCTGATGAATAGACTTAGGTGGGCTATGTTGCTGGGAGATTTTAATTTTAAAATATTGTTGTTTTTGTTGGTAAGTCTTTGGTGGGATGTGAAGGTATTTGTATAAGCTGTGTTGTCTTGTGTGTGATGGCTGTAGGGGATGGTTCGTATGGATTGGTTTAGTTGATTAAGTTTAGTTGGGGGCGGGGGTGAAGGTTCAGTAGGTATTGTTTTTGTTGTAGGTTCATGTTATGATTTGTCTTGATAGTTGACTGTAAGGGACCCAAATTCTGAGTTTTAAATAATCAGTTGAATCTGCGTTGATTGCAGAATTGTTAAGGAATGCGTGTGTTTAGGTATGTTTTCTGTGACTGGACTGGGATGGGGTAGATCTATTTGTAAAGGTAATTGGCTCCGGTTACAACTTTCAGTTTTTTTTGCAGACTTGGCAATAGGTTCAGCTAACAAGTTGACACTCTTGTAGTCAGTCTTCTTCAAGCATCAGCAAGAAGTCTACTTGACTTGACAATGGCAAGTGCGAACTTGCCAAAACATCAGAATATATATACATATATACAGTGGGTGATCAAATTATTAGAGCCACCTAGCAAAATTTAATTTTTTTTACAGAAAGGGTATATAATTGAGTTGTAAAGTATATTAATACATTTGTTTCTATTTTATTATCTTGTAACACTTTATGAAAGTACAATAAATAGTCTGACCACAGTGGCCATGGCAATTTGTGACTCAGATGCCATTGTTGTCAATGCTCTCCAGTTTAGCATCCAACTGGTTTGCATATTGTTTTGTATTCTTGGTGTTTAGAGTTATAATAAATAGTTTCCATTGCTCTCTAGTGATATTCTGATAGTTGTATACTATTTTTTATGAATTTAGCAAACATTAAATGTTTGTTACACCAGTGGTACCTAAACATCATGGGAGAAGCCAAAAACATCTCACCAAGGAAAATAGTGGAAATAAAAACTTTATTAATGAACAATAATCACTCCAACAAAAAAATAGCATTAATTTCTAAAGTCTCAAGGTTAACTGTCGACTGTATAAAGAAAAAATTTGACGAAAATTTGGATTTGACCCCAAGGCAAACAAAAATATGGTCAAAAAATAAATTACAACGCCACGAGATGAAATAAAAATTCGTGATATTGTCTTAGCATACAAAAAAATTTGACCATTGATGATTGGAATCAGCTAAATAACATTGCTTAACATTTTTTTTCTTTTATGTAGTTTTATGTAGTCTCCTGCAAAGGAGACAGTACTAAGTATTAGGCTTAAGGCATAATTTTAATTGTTTTCATGTAATTACTTGTTTCTTTAAAAAAATATATTTTTGGTGACTCCCATTCCCCCCATCACCCTTCGTATTTTATAAATTTATAAAATCACCTGAAAATTGAACTATTATGAAATCTTATAAAATTACTTAATATATAAATATAAGTAGACAAATAGAAAACATTTATTTAACATGTTTATAAACACTATTAAAAAAGAGATTGTAAAAATTCTTTCCTATCATCACTCTTTTCTGTATCTTCACCATCCAACTGTTCTGCAACCTTTTCTTCAATATTGTCAAATTCTTTATTCACTACGGTTTTATTCTTTTTAGTTTTTTCAACATTGGATGTAAAGAAGTTGCTCTTCTTTTTGGCTAATTGTATTTCTGCTCGCAGTTTTTGTCTTCTGGCTGCTTTTTCATATGCCAATCTGTAAATTATACAATTAGATTAATAATGAAAAGGAAAAATTTACTTAATCCTTTTAAATACAAATGTGTAATTGCGAATAAAACGAATAAAAAAATGGCGTGTGGCACTTATATGGAGTGCAGACAAAAGTGAATACTTACTATAGCGCGTTATTGCTATACGTGGGTTAATGAAATTTTTATACCTGTTTATTACTGAATTGCAAAGGCGGATCCAGGGAGAGGCCATGTCGTGTAGTGTGATGTACAATTTTATGTTTATAACATTCTATTATTGTTAGATAGGCCAACATGACGAAATGTCCCTGAAGATGCTCTAGGAAGCGAAAGTACTTGGGCAAGATTTAATTAATAAAACGGTGCTCGATATCTGCCTTTCATTTTATCAAAGTTCATTTTAGTCTTAAAAATACTCTGATCCATATGATTCAAAGGTCAAAGGTTTTTTTAACTTCCAAAAAAAAAAAACAATGTTCTAAAAATTTGTGTAAATTTTGACGAAATTCCACTGACAAAGAGTTCTAGTAATCAGTTTTATTCTATTTTGTGTAATTTGTTTATAGACCTAAATTGCAGGTTTAATAGGCATTTACCATAGTTACGAGAAACCAAAAGATGCAAAAGGATGTTTGAGCTGTAACAGAGGCCGTTGAACTTATAAATGTTGGTTTAAGTTTCTATTAAAGCTGATGATATCTTTTTTTATTAGATAGTTTAAGCTAAACTAATTAATCATGTAAGTATATGGGGTAATTGATTACTGTTACATGTTGATTTATATTTAAGATTAATGAGCTTAAAAATTGGCGAGGAGACAATATAGCTCAGGTTTTAAAAGGTTTGTAATTTGTAAACATAAATCAATTTAAGGTAAGTAAGAATTTTCACTATCACTTAAGTGGCCACATAGAGACGATGAAGCATATCTGTGTCCTATATGTAATTTAGATGGCAAAATTTACGAACTCTAAAAATGTTCAGGTCTGGCTATGAGGTTGATTGAAGAACTACAGCTAGAGATATGAAATGAATATTCGTTGTATTAGACATAGCCACATATTTTATTTATACACTCTTATATTTGTACTTTAAGTGTGGAAGTGTAATTACTGCTCATTTGGTCATTAGAAATGAATGAGATATTGAGAATAGAAATCAATTAGAAAAAACTCAAAAGCCAGCCTTGCCATGGGGAAGGATATTGAAAATTGGAGAATGAACTGAAGAGAGCTAAAGAAAGGGCATACACTGAAATAAAAATATTAATAAAACATAATTTGCATGTTGCATTAACAATAATAATGTATTTTGTAATAGTCAAATCGTGTGGTCAGCAGGAAAGTCTGAAAATTGACAAGTCAATTTTTATTTATTAAAAATACCTAATAATTCTGTTTTTTAAGCTGCAGCTCATTTAATTTTCTATGATTAAATGAGCTGCAGTCATTGTTGATGCTTTTGGCAATTTCTTTAGCATTGTCCACAATCCTTCTTTCTCTTGTCCAGAATGATTCTGTCTCCGGCTTCTATATAACATGTAGCTTCTCCATTTTTAAAAATTTTTAAAGTGTTTGTCTTTGTGTATTGTATTGTTACGTCCAAATTTACATGTATGACATTCTGCTCATGTCGGATAGGCCACAACTGACGAAATGCCCCTGAGGATGATCTATTGATCGAAAGTACTTCGGCAAGATTTAATTCATTACTGTGTTCGATATTTGCCTTGTATACCAAAGTAAAATTAAAAAGGTTATATATTAAACAGAGTTTTAATATAACTGGGCAAAAACAACAATAAATAAGAGGTTGAAGTACACCATTTACAGCTACATTTTTCTACTTCTTTCTACATTTTAAATAAATAGATAAAATTTGGATAAAGTAGTATTCCTGTACTTTTCAAAACTGCTTATTTTGTTGCACTACTTTTTCACAAAGTTTGTGGGAATAATACCCACAAACCCAAGAATCATGTAATGATTTGAAAACCTGAACTGTATAACATTAAAATGGTCATTTTCTCTATTATCTTATAATCGTATAAAAACTCCAAAAGTCTTCTAAAAATAACATACTGATTTCTTATC